AATTTAGGTGAAACCAAAAGGGTTATTTAGAGGACTTCCTAAGCTCTATAAAAAGTCCAAGAACGCCCTCATAGGGTTAAAATTGACAAAGATATGCATTGCTAAAGTTGACCAATTTTATGAAAATGCACAAAAGTCAATGTGAGCAAATTGGATCTTTTGGACTAATGGGCGAGGGTTTTGGATCTCAAGCATATCCATGAACTTATTTAGGATATTTAAATCCATTATTTTATTTTTATGAGGTTTGTTTTTATTTATTTGAATTTTTATTCATTTAAATCAAAATAAATCAAATAAAATAGTGAAATAATGAAATAAAATCCAAAGATTTGTTTTAGGATCATATCATAGGTCTAGAATCAGATGATCAAGTCAAGATTTCATGCAAGGGTTGATTGGAAGAAAAAAAAGCATGTTTTGGCCAAGTTAGGAAACAAAAAATCCAAATTACAAATCAAATCTTCCTTTCACAAATCTTTAAGATTCTATCCAATTTTGTTAACCTAATGCATTCTCATATATATATGTACAACATTGCCAGACCAAAAGAGGGAGGTTTTTCCACATAGAATACACATAAGAAGTTCCAAATTTTTGACAAAAAAGTGACAATCGGATTGATATTTGTAGAAGGTTTTAAGGAGCTTTGACGTTTGCAATCCATTCCTGGGGACATTTTGAAGCTAACAGCACCATTCTCATGCATCAAAGCATCCAGAATCACCACATACATCATCACGGTTTGCACATATTTTTCTAAATTTGATTTTGATCATACACGCGTTATAAATAGGTTTTGATTATGCATTACTGTTTGTATGAGCATTTAGAATGTATTTGAATACTTAATTTCCAATTTTGATACATATATGACAAAATGCCATTGTTATGGTTTTAACCTTCATTTTAGGGTTTTAAGAAGCAGGCAAAATTGGACCTAACAATGGATACCATCATGCTCAGGGGATCAAACCCAATTGATTCATGTATTTGAATTGAATTTATATTGCCTGGTGTGATTTTTGAAATGCGCAGGTTTTTAGTGACGGATTTAGTCTGTAGGTAAAAATCCTTAAACTAAAACGACGGATAGCTGAAGAAGATGAAGGCGTGGCATGACCTGATTGGGCCATTTGAAACAACGTCTGCTTTTTTATAAAAAATAATTCTGGGCATTTATTTGAGTTATATTATTATATGTTTATATCATATAACGAATGAACACTTGGCTCAGACGGTAAAGGAAGAGCGCTGGAAGGGAGAGGACCTGGGTTTTAGTCCCAGGTCCAACATTTTATATTTTTTAACTTGTTGCTTGCAGATCCAGTAGGTCTCACTCCCAAGCGTGCATCATGCACTCTCAGATCCAGCCATCCAATCGGCATGGTTCTAGATCTAACGCCCCTGGAAACGCTTCCACACCATGGACCTCCATACCACTACAGCATTGGATCAGGCGCAAAGTTTGTGGGCCAGTCAGACTTGGGCTTTGCAAAAATTCAAACAACACCCTCCAGATTGGGTTCACACCCTCCTTCAGGCCCATTCTTCTTTTCTTTCTATTATTCTTATTCAATTTCTTTGTCATTTTTAATTATTTCAAAATCATTTTTTCTAAAAAAATCAGAAAATCAGAAATTAGGATTTAGAGTTTTTTTAATAAAAATATTTTTTGCAATTTAATTAATTTAATTAATTTAATTTAATTTTAACCTTATTTCATTAATTAAAATTAATTAGAGAATTAGGTTAAAATTCAATATTTTTTCATAAAATAAAAAAATATTTTTTGAGCAATTAGGTTTTTTTCTTTATGGTTTAGAACTTTTTTCCCGTCTTAATTTTGCACGCTATTATCTTCTTCATACGATTTTTTTACCACTTATGTATCTGCGTCCGGTTTGTAATAGCTAAATTAGGGTTTTTATTTTCGCATTTTTACTTTTCAGTCCATTACTTATGTATCTACACCAAAGCCCTGTAATAGCGTAGGACTTTATTTCTTGTTTTTTCTTTACATGCTTGTATATAATTGTTAGAAATTTAGGCGTGCATGACAAGAACCAATTAATCAGTAGATCACTAATCACAAGATAAACATAACTGAAAAAACACATTGTTGCACACTTGCACCCTTAGGGTATACCTCACTTGGTTGTCTCGGAAATAATGGTCATGTCCCTCGAACGTAGGGGTATCTTAGCAAAGACCCTCGGTATAAAAGTCATCATAAAAGATCATGGTCCCTAAACGTCCCTCGAGTTGCCTACGAGAAATGATCTTGTCTCTCGATGTTGCCTATATTATGACAGTCTCGTCGAATGCTAAGATATCCTTATAAGTTGCCTTCAATGACCATAGCATCCCTTTCGATAGTCCATCAGCATCCGACGACAGGGCTACCTACTCACTAATAGTAGGATAGCATTGTCTAAAGGGTAGGAGGAAAAGAACACCCTTTTTCGAGTAGGTAGATGACTCTTAAGTACTTGCTCAAACTTGAAATTTTTTACACTTACGCACTTTCAAAAATGTTTTATCACACTCTTGAGGACTGATACAAGAGTTACCATAAAGCAAACAAAATCTTTCAAAACCCACAAACACGAAAACAGTTTTCAAAATGAGCAAGTACCTAAGAGCCCGTGAAAAACCACGAATGGAGAGGGTGCTAACACCTTCCCTTTCCATAATCTACCCCCCTTACTTAGAAAATATCGAAAAAAGGTCTTTTTCTGTTCTTTTCACCCTTTCCTTTGTTGGATAAAAAAAAAGTCGGTGGCGACTCTTGCTTACCGCGATATTTGCGAATACAAAATACAAACCAGTATTAACAGTCGGTTCTGCCAACGTATCACACCAATGTTTCTTTTTTATCTTAACTTTACAATTTTTCCCTACAGCTTGGCATTTTTCACAGTACTTTGGCCTTCATTCATACTCAGCCTTCTGAATCATGGTGTTTTCATCCCTATCCTTAATGTGTATCTCCTCTAAAAGCTTTTGAGTTATATCCACCTCTACAAGGATCCTTGCATACGAGACCCTAAGTTTGCTAGCAGTGCATTCATCAGTCACCAAAGGGGTTCCAAAAGCACTTCCTATCATGTTAAAATTCAATTCCCCCCATAGATGGAGAGGTAGCATTGGTAGCTTGATCCAGATGGGGATAGTTCTTTGCATATCCCTTTTTAGGTTGAAGCCTGACCTTCATTCCTTCAATAATATTGGCATTCCTCTGAATGTATAGGGACCCTTCATCAATACAACATCCATCACATCACTGGATTTGAATTTGAGGATGAAGTAGCCCTCGTCGTGATAATACAGATCTGGAAGTTGAACATAATTCCAAGTTTTCATCATGAAATTCTTGACAGCACTCATGCTTAGTTCTTCCCCAAACACATACATGATTAGCGAATTATTCCAAAACTGGATCTTCAAATCCGCATCTTCTTCATCAATGTCAATTTCCACCTTGCCATTAATCACTGCAGGAGCAACAAATTTCAGCACATTCCCCTTCGTTAGGTTTTGATTTTCACTGAGAATATCCACCCATATTTTAAGCACTGTAGGTTTGTCCTTAAGATTATCTTCCAAATCAGCTTTTAGGGTTTCCTCTGAATTTTCCTCTACCTTACCATCATCGTAATTGCTACTATCACCAGTGTTTTCAAATCGCGTCGCACTCAACAACTCTGGTTGAATCTCCAAAGACGGATAAATTGTTGGCATCGATGGCACCGTGGTTTTCAGCGGCCGCCCTCGATTCTGTTTCTTCATCAAGAGAGAAATTTATTTTCTTCTTTTTATTGTTTATTTGAAGTCACTATTATTTTTAAGTAAAAGTCATATTATTTTTACTAGTTTTTTTATTTATAGATTTTTTTTCTACTCTTTCTTTTATTTTTAAATATTTATATAGAGCATAATATTTAATTGTTTTATATATTATTTTATTAGTTTATGATATTATTATATTATACAATTATTTTTTCAATTTTTGTTAATGTATGAGTATCATCGAATTAATATGTTTGGAAGTTGGAATTTTACTTAAGATTATTATTCAACTTATATAGAATTTTCTTTTGTAAAATTATAATTATGAAATTTATATTTAAAAAATTCTTTTATGAATTTTTTTTTAAATTTATATAAACTAAATTAGAAGTCATACAATCCGATCACTAATTCATTGATTTGACCAGTGACTCAATAACATAATTGAGTTGATAAAGAATTCGAATTTTAAAACATTAATTTCAATTATTCTAGCCGAATCATTCATCCGTGGCAGAACAACACGACGTGATACAAATTTTTTTATTTCTCTGTCCCATGCCAGAGTTCATATATATCATATTGTCTCTTATATATAATTTTGTAACATTCAATATAAGATTTTAAAGCCACAAAAACATATAAGACAACCTCTCATCTCTCATCTCTCCTACCGAATACAAACTCAATTTCTAAACTCTACTAACATTATATTTTGGTCCCTCGGATCAGTTTTCGACTGGGATTTATTAAATATTTTTCATGTCGTAATATTAAGTTACCTCATTTGTTCTGAATTATAAGTCCTTTTACAATCTTAATAAATCATTAATGACTTTTTATCTAACCCTCTAATATTTATTTCTTTCTTTTTTCTATTCTTTTAATTTCACTTTTCAATATAACTAGTAACAAACCCATGCTATCGCACGGGTCTCGTCTGGATTCACATTACATTTATAGATTATTAAATTATTAAGTATGTTACCATGTTTTCAGTTGAGTATATGTCTCATGTAAACCATGTTGGCATTTAACTCCATATTTGTAGCAAGCGTCGGTCCTATCAACAAATCACGTCTGCATGAACAAATAGGAAAAATTATATACTTCTTGAAATACATGGAAAATGTACATACTATATATTTTAATTCAAAATAGATTTTTAATTTGAATCGTAAAGTATAAGATATAAAGTTTACCAACTATCAAAGTGCTTGAAAGACTTCCTTGTACACAACATTAGTAGTAGTAGAACACGGTACATTCTCCTTGTCATGAATTAGGATTTTTAGCCCACTTTTGCTCTTAACTCTTAAAATTGCAACATATAATTGACCATGACTAAACACAGGAGTAGGCAAATACAATCCAACACTATCAAGAGATTGATCTTGTGACTTATTAATTGTCATTGCATAGGAGACAATAATCGGAAATTGTCTCCTAATCAACTTGAATGGCCAAGGTGAATCAGAAGGTGACATAGACATTCGTGGAATGTAAAAAATGTTACCTATGTTCTTTCCAGACATGATTTTTGCCTCAATTACATGATTTGCAAATCTTGAAACAATTAATCTTGTTTCGTTGCACAACCCATCGGCTTGGTCCAAATTTCTCATTAGCATAATAGGTGTACCAACCTTCAATTTGATCATATGATTGGGAAGCCCTGACGTTCTTAATTTACTGAGAAATTCAGGAGTTAGAACTTCATATGCTTCAGTATAACTTGAATCTGTTCTATCAATGGAATCAAAACTCAAATACTCTTTCTCTTCTCCTAAAAAAAAGTTTAAAAGCAAAACATAAATAAATTAGTAAAACTATGTTCTTAAATATATATATATATATATATATATATATATATATATATATATATATATATATATATATATATATATATATATATATATATATATATATATATATATATATATATATATATATATATATATATATATATATATATATATATATATATATATATATATATATATTATGAATGTAATAATACAGTAAATATAAAACACATGTACCTGGTATCAAGTCTAATATATAATGATTGATTTTGTCCACAACTTCAATGGTTGAAGCAAGAATAGCCTTTCCTTGTAAGAATTCAACATCTTGATATTTTTCCAACAAATTGGCATATGTGTTTTCAACAATTGCTCTTATAGGATCATCAAAATTTGATATTAATAGCTCTTGAGGAATTTCAATATCAACCAAACCATCATTGGGTTCACAAATCTTACCATCACCCACATTTAAAATCCATTTTGAAAATTCCGCTAGTTCATTAGAACTTGTGTTGTCTCTTCCCTCTTGAAGTCTCATATTTTTTTATAGTGTTAAAACCTGGCAATAATCCCATACATAAGATGAACTAATTGATGCATGAACAATATCAGAACGCCCAACTCTTGGAACAACAGGAAGAATCTGTCTAAAATCTCCTCCAAATACAACAACTTTTCCACCAAAAATAGTATTCTCAACACCCTTTTTGCTCATTACATCTTTAAGGGTTTTATCCAATGCTTCGAAGCAGTTCTTGTGAGACATAGGTGCCTCATCCCATATTATCACATCCGTTGCTTCAAATAATTGAGAATGTTCGGTGTCTTTGTCGATGTTGCAAGTTGAGTTGTCAAGCGTTGGCACAGGTATTTTGAACTTTGAGTGTGTTGTTCTTCCACCCGGCAATAATAACGAAGCTATCCCACTTGAAGCAACAGTAAGAACAATTTTTTTTTGAGAACGAAGTGCACTTGATAGTGTTCTCCACATGAAAGTTTTACCAGTCCCTCCGTAACCATGTAAGAAAAATACCCCTCCACTCTGTTTGTTAACAGCATCCATGATTTTCTCAAATATCAAATGTTGTTCATCTATAAAATACAAACCAAGAATTATAAGTGCAAGGACAATAAAAATCATTTTTGTAATTCATAGTATAAAGAAAATAAATCACCTGTAAGGGCATGAAAAAGTTCTTGGAATTTCTGTTTCTCGGTATCGGCATCGTAATTAAGTTCGTCATAAATAAGCCTATTGCCAACATGTTTTGTGATGTATGAATCTGGATACGGCATACATTTAAATTCATGCAAACTTCTTCGATTCGATTGCATCATGTTCTCAATCTCAATTAGTGTGAGATTCTTTAACTCATTGTCCGATAGCTGCAATTCTGTTAAAAAAAGTTCATTAGTTTTCTATATAATTACATATGTATGATGCAACTGCTGTCGTGATGTTGAAATACATTGAACATAAATCAAACAGTCGATGTTGCGGCTGCGTGAAATTAAATGGAACCAAAGACACTGTTGCAGCTGCAAGTTAAGAAAATAACTTACATACATGACAAATGACAAATATGAAAATGTTTCTTACGTAAATGGACATACCTTATGAAACATATTAAATAAGGGACATATGGATGAAGAATAATTATATTTTAAAGTAAGTTCATATCATTATATTTTGTAATAAAAAAAGATACAGCTTGCATTCGGAAAATAATATTTGTTGACTTAAAAAAGTTTAATAAAGTGTTCATACCTCTTCTATTTGTTTTTTGCCTTTGTTGGTAGAGGATACCATCAGATAACGTCCTCCAAGTTTTTTCCCAAACATGTCGTGGTCTATTGACAGTACCGGATAGTAACATAGTGACAAATAACTTTCGTAAAAAATGCCCGGAACCCCAATTCTTTGCTTCGTCGATGGCTGCAACATATTCCTTGTCATCGTTAAGAAAGCCCATTTCGAAGCATGCATCCCTAAAAGAATCCTGAACTTTTCCACCCACAAATTTTATATCCTCGTAGTAAGTTGGACCTTTGACGACTGTTAGCATCATTCTCAAGAAATATAACTCACCCGTACTTGGAGGGACCCAAATAAGTCTGCCAATTGTATTTCCTCTTTTACGCGGTCTCCATCGACGGTATCTTTTATCATAAACAAATTTGGAAAGAAATTGTGAGTACGTCAAATTTTTTGCCTCTGGGTATGCTTTGTTTGCTTCCATCCATGCCGTAAACATAGATTCTTTCACAGTTGGTTTGTCAAGCACCTCATCTATCAATTCATAATCGGTATAATAAACAGAGTTATCTCCTTCAAGATGAAAGAACAACCTTTCAACTGTGGGTGATCTACCATGAATAGGAAATGAAAAAAGTCTCCAACATGTCTCACTTGGTGAGATATATCTGCAATCAAGATATTGCTTGATTTCGTCAACCATTCTGACCGAGGGAGATCCATCACCGTCAGTTTGGACAACAGCAGCAGTAATTCTATCATACCCCTTGTTAATATACTTAAATAAGTATTTAACCGAAGTACTTTGATTACACCACTCCATATTGATGTGTGCTTGGAATTTCTTCAACAAATATGGATTGTAAGGAACTACATATCTGTTATCAAGTTGAACGTGTTTTTTCAGCACTGTATTACCAGTTTCTCTTCTTCGGTACACGGGATATCCATCCTGATCAACAATGGTTTCGGTTTGATATTTCTTTGGAAAGTATTTTGAGCACTTTCCATTTTTCATGCAAGTTGAATTCGCATTTGCTAAACCACATGGGCCATGAATCATATGTGTCTTGACCAAATGGTAGAGTTGCCTATCATCTTCTTCCGTTGGTATCTCTGCTGAAATGATCTTGTTTATATCATCTGGAGTCGGATACTTGCTTGAAGGATGCAAGAATAATAGTATATGGGCGTGTGGTAAACCCCGCTTTTGGAATTCAATGGTGTATATATCTGAAATTAAGTAAGTTTAAATGTAAGTTTAAACTTATTTTTATAACCCATTTCTTTTAAAATTTTACATAATTCTACAAATAAATTTTACCCGAGAAGAATCAATTTTGCTAAATTTTGTTAATTTAACAATCAATTTGTAATTCATTAAATTTTAGAAGATTTTCAAAAAATTTATTTTAAACTATTATAAAAAAAATTAATAATTCAACTAAATAATTTATTTTTAACTTTTATTTGATAAAATATTAAAATTAATTTTTTGCTAAATTTTGAATATTATTTTAGAAGAATCAATTTGTATGTAATTTATGAAAATTTAGAATTTCAAACTTTTTTATATATACCTTAAAAGCATGTTGAATTCGTGTGTCCATTATTAAAATATATGTAATTTACTATTATTGATATAAATAATTTTATAAATAGTTTAATTTATTACATTTATAAAATTATTTGTAATTTATTCACCTTTATAAAATTAATTATAAATTATTTAATTTATTAAAATGATTGTATCAATAATTTTTTATTTTATCATAAATTTTTATGATTATCATTTATCATTAAATTTTCATGATTACCATTTAATATTTTTTTATCATGATTACAATTATAAAGTTAATTTGAAAAGATTATGATATATTTTAGTTATTTCATAAACTTAAAAAAATTATCAAATCTCAATTGATTTTGTTTTGTTTTATTAACCTTTTTATAGAAATTGAAATAATTTATTTTAGGTCAAATAAGGATCTAAATAATTACAAAATAATATTTATTCTTACATTTATAGAATGATAAATTAAATATTTAAGATAAACATTAGAGTTCTTATTTACTTTATCTTTTATATATTTATAATATACTTTTTTGTTAATTTTATTAACAATATATTTATAGTTAACAATACATCCTTTAAACTACGTTATTTTTTTCAAGAATATAAATGTAACCTTTCAAAAAATATACACAAATATATTTAGAAGTCGGTAGAAAATTTTATTGGTTAAATTATAATTTCATTCAAAATTTATTGATCATAAATTTTTGAAATCAAATCATGCATAAAAATAAAATGTATTAATGTGATCATTCAAAATATTTTCTATGAAACAGTATCAAACCTATAATATTAAAAGAGAATTCAAATTTTATTGATCATAATATTTTATGGAATCAAATCATATATAAAAATTAAATATATTTATGTCACCATTCAAAAGATAATAATGTCTCATTCAAAAGATATATTGATAAAGTATCGAATTAAATAGTACTCCAATATTTGATTAAAAAATTATAATATTTGTTTTTAATATTGTATAAAAATATATTAATTAGTCGTACTTTAAAAAAATAAATCGTAAATATTTTATATATTATTTTATTAGTTTATGATAATATTATATTATACAATTATTTTTTCAATTTTTGTTAATGTATGAGTATCATCGAATTAATATGTTTGGAAGTTGAAATTTTACTTAAGATTATTATTCAACTTATATAGAATTTTCTTTTGTAAAATTATAATTATGAAATTTATATTTAAAAAATTCTTTTATGAATTTTTTTTTAAATTTATATAAACTAAATTAGAAGTCATACGATCTGATCACTAATTCATTGATTTGACCAGTGACTCAATAACATAATTGAGTTGATAAAGAATTCGAATTTTAAAACATTAATTTCAATTATTCTAGCCGAATCATTCATCCGTGGCAGAACAACACGATGTGATACAAATTTTTTTATTTCTCTGTCCCATGCCAGAGTTCATATATATCATATTGTCTCTTATATATAATTTTGTAACATTCAATATGTAATATTAAGTTACCTCATTTGTTATTACTCCATTTTCCAACATAGAGAACTAAAGATGATTATGACCTGAAGATATAACCCCATTTTAGGGTCTAACACATTTATATAAATGTCAAAACACCGTAGCAGAAAATAGTTCTATTCTGTCCCACAACCATAGTTTACACAGATTCACAAAATCACAGAAATTGTTAATTAAAAAATATGGAAAATAACACAGCCACAATCATACAAAAATACATACAAATAAAAACCTTACAACAAAAATTGCAGCCATTCTGCTACTATTGCAACTAACAATCATTTGGATGCTTTTACGTTGGCACTAATTCTTTTGCACTACCATATCAATCAATCATATTGAAAACAACACCCACATGTTTAAATCAAATGAGCAGCAGAAAGTGAGAGACATAACATATAATAAGGCTGCACAACACAAGACAAACAATAAACAGAAGAGAATAAAATATCAAAAGGGGCCAACAAACATGGACAATAATAATGTGACTAAACTTGAGCTTTCATAGTCAAACAAACAGAATCTTCATGGTACTCTAAAATCTAAAAAGTACTTCATGGGTCAAATCTAAAATTGGTGCAACACAACAACAAACTAAAATGGATAGTCATTTTCTCCACTCTGAAAAATCAGATCTGCTACTGCCTACCCGCTTTACAAATCTGTCACCTCATCATGTGTTTAACTGTTAAACACACTTGTACAAAGTTGTTCATAATCAAATCCAAAGACCATGATAAAATATTCCTAGCTCCATAATGAATTAATGGCCAGCCACTGTAATTCCTCCTAGCTGAGGTTGATTCCTAAGGTTGATATTGTGACTGATGCTGCTGATAGTGATAATCCTGCTGAAACGGGGGATATTGTGCAAATACCTGAGGCTGTGCCACCGCTTGTAGTGGCTGATCTTGTGCTGGTGCATTTGGCTGCAATGGATGTGGTTCATCCTTTAGTGGTTCACTAAGATCCATGGCTCCGAGAATTTCTAACTCTTGAATTGCCGCAAGTGCAGTGACTGGACTTTGATGGTCAAAATGTGGTTTGATTACTGCAAGAGATTCCTTGATTTTTCCTTGCTGGAAATTAATGTATAGAGGATTAAAGATGAACTTAGGAAATAAAATAAATAGAAATAAATGATGATAATTGAAACCAGAGATTATTTCAGCTTACAAAGTGTTCAAGTTTCCTTCTGAGATCAACTTCATTAGCAGCATTTTGTGAACCACTAGCAGTAGCAGGTGTTGTTCCCTGTCAAATCAAATTGATGCAATGAAAGATGCAAATATGAAATGTTTATAAATGTTTAGGAAGAAAATAAGAATATTATAACCGTAAACTATTTCACTTCAAACTCAATTTTCGGAAAACAATTTCATAAATGATTGATAAATGCTAGCCCAAACACAGCATCATTCCAACAGTATCGGTTAAATTTCCAAAACTTTTATTATACACAAGGGAAAATGATAAATAAATCAGATAGAGTGAAAATGAGTGTTACAATGAAGGACCAGATATATAAAACTATAACAAGGAAAATAAAAAGCAATAAAGTAATTCAATAAAATGTAAACTCAAACAAAAGTAGAAGTCGTATACAATCCCACAAAAATGAAGGAAAAACTACTGATATAGACTATAAAATAAGATAAATTTCTGTAAATTTAGAAAGCAAAACAGAAGATAGGACTTTTAACAATAATTAAGTATTCAAGTATTTCATAAATTTTTTAATTTCAATTTTAAATTACACAAAAGGTGAGATATCGAATTTTCAAATGCTTCTCTATAAACCACAAAGTTCATTTTATACAAATATTGTAATATCAGAAGTTGTTTATCACCAGCCAAAAATAAGAATATTCAGATTAGAATAATAAAAACTAAAAAAAAAACAAACAAACAAAAAAGAGAAGATATTTGACAATAACAGAGTAAATCAAATTCAAATTCAAATTTCAAAACATTGTACTACAACACAACAAACCCAAAAATAACAAATATGTTAAGCATCTTGTACAAATATTGTAATATAAGAAATTCTTTATCACCCCACCAAAAATAAGAATAGACAGAGTAGAATAATATAAATTAAGATATAAAAAAAAAAATTAAGAAATATGACAATAACAGAGTAAATCAATTCAAATTTCAACTACAAAATCAACTAACAGTTTAAATATCAAATCACAGCTTTGTCACAGATAATACTACAAAATACTTTAAATTATTAACAGTATTATTACATTTGAACCAAAATTTATCGAAGAGAAAAAACTAAGTTTTGTAAAGAACTATCCATGCATAAAGATTAATTGTTTTCCATTCATATGCTGTATTGGCAATGCAGTGAGAAATGTTAAAGCAGTCTTAAAAATTAAAATAAGAAATGTTCATATAAATTAAAAACCTGAAATAAAATACAACATCTAACTATTAAAGATTCACCTTAACCCAATCAGAAATAATAATAATTATATAAAGTATATTAGATTAAAGGTTTAATCATGCAAATATTTTCATACAACTTGAACATATTTAAAATAATCCAGAAAAAACCCATTATCAATTTTTGACCAAAAAATCTATTTTATCACTGCAGATTTCACTATGTTAAATTCTGCAAGTAACAACAGTCCTACAAAGTAAACTTTCAGTTTGAAGATTAAAATACACAGCTTTCAAAATACAACAATATTATTTTTAAAAATATCTTCAGCCTACTAAAGTTAAACATGTTAAGTTTTGCGTTTCAAAATAGTTTTACAGAATGAATTTGTAGTTTAATCGTAAAATTCTTAGTTTTCCAACTGCAAAACATTCAATCATAACTAATTATTATCACCGCCAAAAACATTCAGTGAAAAAACATTACACTAAACTACAATGGGGTTTTTTGCAAGATTAAGTTACAATGTTCTGTTCATATATCCACAGGTTATGGCAAAGAGCAGTATTTTATTTTGAAAGTTAAATAAAATACTTATATACACATAAACAGATACACACATAAAGTAAAATCCAAACTCAAAATATGGAAACAATGCATAGACACACCTAACAAAAACCAGACATTACCATCTTCAAGGTATCCTAGAAACATATTTTAAATCATAAAATATTTTCAAACACATTTTATATAATCCAAAATAATCCACTTTCTTTTTTAACAGAAAAAAACAATTAAACTGCATAATTCACTCATGATAAGGTGTGCTTGTCATAACAGTCATACCAAGTAAATTATCAGTTTGAAGATAAAATTCAAAGCCTTTAAAAAAATAGTGACAGTATTATAAAAAACCTCTTCAGATTACATAAATAAATATATTTAATTATGCATTTCAAAATAGTTCTAGAGAACGAATTGTAGTTTAAACAAAAAATTATCAGTTTTCAAACTGAAAATCACTCAATTATTAACCTATTATTATCACCAGTAAAACCAAAGTTCATCAAAAAAAAATCAAATTGAAAAACCTTGGTTCATTAAGCTGCAATGTTATATTCATACATACATATGCATTGAGCAGTGTAATATTTAAAATGAGTCAAATTAAACACTTATAAACATAAACACACACACAAACTCAATTAAAATACCCTTCTTTAAAAGGATTAACAACTAATTTCATTTCAAAATTAATAAAATCCAAATACATGTTCGTACATACATATGCAATAGCATTGAGCAGTATCATATTTAAAATAAGTTGAATTAAACACCAATATACATAACCAGACAGTCAAATACACATAGAATAGGATAATCTAATTTCATTTCAAAGATAATAAAATCCAAAATATGGCAACAATGCATAGATATACCTAAAAAGACATGAATTTACCATTTTCATCTGCAGTTAATCTTCCTCCAACAAGAAGGAAAATCTTAATAAAAGTCAAAAAGTACAGACTTGGTATTAAATTCTACCAAAACAATCTATCCAACATAGATTTAAAAAGTAAAACTTTACACAACAAAAATTAATTTCATAAACCTTGTACATCCAAAAGCACTAGTTAAACTACATATCAAGAAAAACACACAACAAAGTTATCAACTTCAAGGCAAAATCAGAAAACACACAACAAAATAGCAAAATAATCAATTTCAACAGAAAATAAATAAAAACACAAAAATAGTTCACCTTCTTTGGACGACCCACAGGCCTTTTTCCTGGAGCCCGCAGAGTAATCCCTCTAAATGCATTTCCTATACGGCCACCGCGTCCTCTTCTTCCACGACCTCGCCCGCGGCCACGTCCTCTGCCTTCACCAGCAACCACAGAAACCGGAACAGCAGGAACAGCAGCAACAGCAGGATTCTTCCTAGGCCGTCCTCTAGATCTCGGAGTCAAAACAGTCCCACCTTCCACAGCAGCAACAGGAACCGTCACTTCAGGAACAACAACTTGAGGCGTTTCGGTAGACACTTCAGTAGCAAACGGTATCGGAGTCGGATCCTGCTGCTGATTCTTCGGGGGACGACCAGGGCGTCTCTTAGTCCCATCAGAAGCCGCAGCAGCTGGAGTTGGAGAATCAGTCTTAACCTTCGGAGGACGTCCAGGTTTCTTCTTCGATTTAGATTTAGAACCTGGAGGACGTCCTCTTCCGCGAGAGGCCGGAGAGGGTGGAACCTGTCCTTCAATCGGAGTCGGGTTTTGGCTAGGGCTAGGGCTTGGGGCCGTTGCATTCTTCGACACATTCTTCGAACCAGGAGGACGTCCAGGACGTCTCTTACTCCCCTCAGCCGGAGTAGCAGCAGCTTGAACATCCAACGGCTCATCAGAAAGGCCAAGCGCAGCCCAAACAGGCTCAGCATTCTGCAACGGAGAGTTATTGTTGTCATTATTAGCAACAACAACAGGAAGCGGCTGAGGAGTAAAGTTATTCTGGGCTTGAGCTGGGGTTGGGGTTACGGATTTTCTTGGTCGGCCGCGGGGTTTTGAAGGCTGAGACGGTGAAGCGGCTGCGGTTGACGGTGGTTCAGTTGCAGCATGTGGAGGAGCAGATCTAGGGATAATATAGGAATTCTTGATGGTTTGAAGTAATCCATCGGATTTCAAACGCTTCAAGTGATGAGTCAACAAGTTGGAGTGTGATTCCGGCGGTGGAAGCTGGTGACTGTAAACTTGCTCTATGTATTTCGATATTGCCCTTTTGCTTGAACCGTTCTTCTCCTTCAAAGCTTCGATAGCAGTGTAAATCATCTACATAACAACAAAAACAAATAAAGATTCTGAATAATCATCAAGAAAGTTAGAATCTAGAGAGAAAGATGATAGTTACCTCAGCGTAGGGAGGGTGGTTTAACGACGGAGATGGAAGGTGGTTGTTTGGTTCAACGGCGAAGGGGACGGCGTTGGGAGCCGGAGTTGAAGGTGAAGAGATCGAGGATGGGTCCATGAGGAGAGAGAGAGGGGGTAGATTCGAAATTTGGGAAATGAAAAATGAAGATTTTAGGGTATTTTAAGAGAGTGAAGAAAATCAAGTGTCAATGAATCAAGTATCTAATATTTACTAATGTATTGCCCAAACTACCGTAATTACCCTTGCACAAAAACAATTTATAAAATCAAAAGGACAATTTCGTATTTCTTTAAATGAGCTGTAAATTTGAAGTTAAATCACACTTTTTGCATTAAGTGTTTTATTTTCATTAGTCTAAATTAAAATACATTTTTCCCTCTAACTCAACCTTACATTCAATTGAGATACCTTCTCTTTCTCATAACATTGTTTTTTCTCTCTCTCTCTATCTCCCGTAGACTCTCTTCTCCCTCTTTTTCCCTAACCTTAAATTTCCACCGCCGATAACAACCTTTCAGTATGGTTCAGCCGTGAAACATCAACAAAATTGACTTTCATCTTCACTCACACACAACCATTAAACTGAAAATCCCACTTCCACTGTCTCTTCCAAAACCGAATCTATACCATAACGCACAAAGTGGATCTGGTGTTCTTTCTCTTGTCTCCCTTTGCAGCAACTTTCTCTTAAGATATTATATTCTTTTGTAATAGTTTTTTGACATTTGCTTAAATTTCTTAAGGAGGTTTTTGCTAATAAAAATTTTCTGGAAACATAACCATTGTGTCGAAGACCCTACAATTGCGGTGGTAGTCTTTAGTCTCATGGGTAAGTCATCTTCTTCCTTAAAATGTTCAGTTGTGCTTATAGATTTGTGAAATTTCAAATTTCCTTTGAAATCCTAATTTTTCTTTGTTTCAAATCCAATTTCTAAATGAGTGTTTATTGATTTGATGCACACATTCATCGATAAAGTGAAGCTTTCATTGTCACTCTCATGGTAGGTTATTTTCTATTCTTCTTCACTTTTCTTTTTTAATTTTTGAGTTGAAATTTAAATTATATAGTGATATGTTATTCTAAGCTTTCTTATGGTTATTAGATATTTACAACTTGGAAGTGGAATACTCACTAGATTCGACAGTATTCGAAAGTGGCCCTTCAAACCTTCAAAGTGGTAATATCTCTTTCGGGCCTTTAGAATCGAACATACTATGAGTGATTGATTATTATTATGTGCATTTGTACCAATTTTTAGCTTGTGTGATTTTGTTCTAAAGTTTTGTATAAATGAGCTTCAATACTTTGAATAATTTTAAAATAACTGATTATACTTACAAAAAAAAATATATTATGGCTACCTTTGAGAGTTTGAATACTGAACAACTTAACATATGTTTTGGGTTGGGAGGGTGACAGTTTATAGCTTTATATATTCTAAATTTTATATTCTAAGTCATGATATCGTGTTGTGATGGTCACCAAATAGTGTTTAGACTATCAAATAGAGTGATTAAACCTCAACCCCTTTTTGTAAATTGCCAAATGAAATAAAAGCAAAATGATGGATATAATCTTTGTCAATATCTAACATATTTTATTTTGTCTTATAGGCAATTGACACAAGAGATGTTTTGGCAAAGTCTATATATTCATGCATTTTTGATTGGTTGGTTTAACAAATAAATAAATCACTTGTTGTTGGAAAAATACGTACTGGCATATCAATCAGTATTCTAGATAGATGTGGCTTTGGATCATCCAACATATGTCATATTTAACCGTATATCATTCTTTCTTTGTATTTATCTGACTATCAGGCATTGAGCTGTGATTGTAAAAGATTTTTTAAATATTTTGCAGGAAAGAGCATATGGTATCAACAAAGCTCCTTTAAAAGGACTCTCCATTTGGGCAGACGTTATTCTGATTCTATTCTAAATTAGGTTATCAATATTTGTCTGGACTCAATATTCTTAAATAAGTATGGAATTTCATTTTTCCATGTTTTTCATGATAAAATGTTTAATGCTTCGTAGACAATGTGATTGTCGTTTGAGAAGGATGATACCAAAATTTCTAAACATCTAGAGTCATTTATATACTAAATTACATTAATAGTTGTGTCTCTTGAGCATAACTCTGTTAATTATCATTTCAAATGCATAGGTGTGATGTTTATAGTTTCAGTGTCATCCTATAAGAGCCTTCCACTCTAAAGTTGCCATGGACTGGAATGAATCATATGCAAGTTGTTGGTACATCAAGTGTTCAAAATCACCGCCTTGAAATTCCTAAGAAAGTTAATCCTCTAGTAGCAAGAATAATTTGGGAATGTTGGCAACAGTAAGCCTGCTAGTCATAGATTTACTCTTATTATCTTCAATATTTCATCTTTTAAAATGTTTAACAAAATGTAGATTTAAACTTCATTTCTACTTGATGATCTTTCTTTGTCTTTTCTCTTTCTCTGCCTATTCCTAATTTATTATGCACCGCTTGAACATCGGTGTGTTAATATTGTTTCAATTGTATTGGTGAATTTTGAATGAAGTTGAAATTGCTTATATGCATATTGAATGGAGTGTCAGGGCTGGTACTTTAAGAAATATTGATTATGTTCCGGTATCACCTTTATTTGACGGTTTTTGACGGTTCAGGCAAGCTCATAATATTTGTGATATAGTGGGAGAACTGACTTGAAGTTTTGCGTTTTGTCGCAAATGTCGCGGTTAGCAAGAGTCGTCACTGACTTTTCTTTTATCCAAAAGAAAAGGTGAAAAAGCACAGGAAAGACCTTTGAGATGTTTTCTTGAGTTTGGGGGGTAGATTATGAAAAGGGAAGGTGTTAGCACCCTTTTCATCCATGGTTTTCCATGGGCTCTTAGTTACTTGCTTAGATCACTTGCTTTGCTTTGTTTGAAATGGTGTTTGGTGTGGTTTTGAAAGTATTTTGAAAATAGGCCATTTGTTTAGGCAATCTTTGTAATGATTCTCGTTCGTAAGAATGTATACAAAGATGTTTGTCTTTTGAAAATATTTCAATGTTTTGTAAGATGTTTTGTAAGATGTTTTGAAATGTGTGTGTGTGTTTTTGAAAATAGCAAGGATTGCTGTTTGAAATGGAGCAAGTAACTTAGAAGCTATCTACCTACTCAAATGTTTTTCTTGTGCATTTTTATTCCTTTGACATTGTTGACTTATCATTGATTTGGTAAGCAACCCTATCTTTAGATGTGAACGGGACGGGCGTGGGTCATCGTATAACCATGATAGCAATGTTGCCAAGTATCTTAGTATTTTTGAGGGACCAAGATCATTTTGTTTAGGCAACTTTTGAATAGCGTCATCGAGGGACTATGATCTTATATTTGTTTTGTTTTGCCAAGATACTTCGCATGCGTAACATGGCCATTTTATTTTAGGCAACCAAGTGGGAGAAATCCTAAGGGCGTTTGTGTGCAAAGTGTATCATTTTCATGCTTTTGTCTTGTATTTAGGGTTTTCTATTTTGCTTTGTTTTTGTTCTTGTCATGCAAACCCTAATTACTAATCATGGTATATAAAGCGATAAATTGTGTAATGTAAATATACTAAGTTATTACAACAATTTTATGGGAGGGGGGAGTATAAGTTTGAATGGGGATTTGCACAAATATAAAGTTAAATATATTATTACAACCAAATCGAATATGCGCGAGTTAAATAAATATAAGATAAATATTTAAAATGCAATGCAATATGTATGTAAAAGAAAAGATTTTTTATGTCTTATTTTTGTATGAACGATATTTAATTTAAACCTAAAAAAAAGGAAAAATAATATTTATTTTTGGAAGGGGATTAAACCCTAGTTTTTATTCAAAGAAAATAATATTCTATATTGTTATTTTGTGTATTTTTTTGTATAAAAAATAAAAAATAATATTATGTCTAAATACTAAAAATTAAATATGTACAAAAAATAAGTATTTATGAGTATAAAAATGTATAATAAAAATATCAAGTATATTTGATTATTTACAAGTTATTTAAGAAAATAAATTCTATTCTATCAAAATAAATTAATTTTTTATGTGAGAAGATAATAAATAAAATAAAATAAAAAGTGTAAAAATAAATAAATTATTTTTAGGATTTTTTATCATTCAGAAAAAATAAATAAAAGTATTAAATATGAAAATATGAAAAAAAATACAAAAATATAAAAAGTCAGCCAGGGGGGTGCAATAGCAAGTCAGGGGGTGCAAATAGAAAAAACAAAAAGGCCAAGGCAACAAAAAGCCCAGAACCAGACTTCATCCATGTCCTTCGTTCTCTTCTTCACGCTTCCAGATCAAACCTGTATCTTGCTTATGCTTGCATAAAAACAAAAACTCATAACATGAAAAATGTGGCATTTGAGCTCACGATTTCAACCATATAAATTATGTAACCTAACTATTAAAGATCAAAGAGAATTTTGGAATCCCCAAATCGTGACCTAAAAATTTCAGAGGTTTCAAACTTCAAATTCTCTTAGCACAAGTAATGTAAATAAAAAGTAATGATATGTACAACTTCGTTATGATGAGAGCTACATTTTTTCTTCACAAATCATGGCTTGAAGTTGTCTATATACAGAGATAGAGTTTAAAAAAATACCTTCTTCAACTGGAATCGTGCAGGATAATGTAGGGACTTTAATGGAGGCCTGATGATTGTTTAAGCTTCCTTTAACTTCTCTGAACCTATTCCAATGCTTATATGGCTCTGGGGATGGTTGGAACTCTCTGACCAAGTCCAACTGCAAGCTTCCAAATTGAAAATAGAAAATGGTGAAACAGAGGTTACAGAACCAGGGTGATGGCTTGGATTGACTTGGTATCAAGTGTATAAGATGTTTGAATCAATGGAACACAAAACGCACGAGCCAAATGAGAGTTGGCTGAGATTTTGCAGAAACTGTGAGCTTGGGCAGTTTTGTGGTGTTTTTCAGTTTGAGAGTGTTTTAGGTTCAAGCCAAACGTGTTATGCCTTGTACAATGCTTGCATATTGTGATACGGTGGGATAACTGACTTGGGATTTTGTGTTTGTTTTCGCACTTGTTCGATT